AATGGAGTTCATATGAAAGAACTCAGTCAGCATTGTTTGAGTGTGGCGACCAGAACTTTCACCATCCACGAGTGTAGCGAGTTTATCCTTACTACAAAACTGCATGTACTGGTAATTGTACAAGTGAACTTGTAAATGTATAACGGCGGGTTTAAGTTCTGATAAGGTGAAGGAAAATATTCGCCAAGCTGCTTCGGGAGGAGATATCCATCTCGCTGTTTGATACTCATTAATCTCATCATATTCATTAACTGTGTTTGTGTCTGACAAATGGAACCTCACTCGATCATGGCCCTTATAAATGTACTTGTAAACATACTTCACACATTTTATTCCAACAAATATTTCCACATTTATATGGCAATCATACTTTTCCAACAATGTCGGATTGTAAGGAACAACCCAACGGTTATCTAAGTAGTGCTTTCTCACTTAAACTTTATTTTTGTCATTTCGCCGGCGATAGATAGGATAAGCATCCTCGGGGAGCGTAGTGACATTGTTGTATGATTGTGGATAGCGATCTTTGCAACAAGGTGGCTGATCCTTTTGTTTTGCTCGCATGAAAACATTTTCTGGATTTAAATCACCGCACGGGCCATGCATCATGTGATTAATTTACAACTAATTGAAAAGGTTTTGGATTTGTTTCTTTGGCAAGAAGCTCAGCAGACACAAATCTATCACACTGCACAGCAGTGTTTATTTTGTGTCTGTTATGTAAAATTACCAGAAAGTGAACATGAGGAAGTCCACGCTTCTGGAATTCTATAACGTAAGTGTAGGTAGCAACTTCCCCGAAAAAACTTTTCTTTATGATATCCTTTTTAAGTTCTTCAACTTTTGCTCGAAATATACGTGCAACAAGATCTGGTCTATTTTGTGGTAAATCCACATATCGAAGGAGTTCTTTAATTTTAGGCCAGTTAGGATTACACATCATTGTTAAGAAAATATCAGCCTTCCCAAAACGCTGAACAAGGGCCATAGCATCCATATATCTTCTACGCATGTCCCATGGACCACCAATAAATGTAGCTGGCAAAATAATGCGCTTCCCTACTTCATCACCATTTTGTACCCCAATGTTAAAACTGTCTATGAGTCCTTGATATGTCTCTAGCCTTGCTTCTCGTTGTTGATGCCTGAAGTAGTCTAATCTTTGTGTTTCAACCTTTATATAAACATCCACTATGAATTGTTGTAGTAATCTACCAGTATGTAACAATAAAGAAGGATCATTTTTTTCTAATTTGAAACTTGTAAGCATAATACTCTCGGGCTGAGACGGTAAATTGTTTGTGACCTTGGGTAGACACAGACTCTTCTACATGTAGCATATCATTCGGTGAATTGAAAGTTGAAGGGTTTAGTTGAGATGAAGTGCATAGTGGATTAGGGGATAAACCAATGTATGGAGATATTTTACGAATACCTTCATGCCATCCAGTTTCTCCATGAGGAAACAACAATGGGTATTTAATGGATCATAACACCCGTAATAGTATTTCACATTATGTGAGGAACCACTATGCCCATACACTTTAATGCTTCTATTCTCCTCAATACCATCTGTGGTGTTCTCTATCCATATGGCTCCTACTCGTGAGGCAGTTGGTAGGTTAAAGACTCGCTGATCTAGGGAAGCATTATTGTGCAAAAGAATACAGAAGTCATCCTCAACGTGTACATCTTTTAGGCTTTTTAAAAATTGGGCATACGGATTGGCAGCCATTACTTCAACAATAGAGCTTACAACCTCTTTTATTAATCGATCAGTAGCATTTATTCTATGCTCTATTTCTTCTTCAGTGTCAAAGAAATATAGTTGTAGGTTTTTTGGTGGATGGCCTACTGGAAGGAAATCATTTATATGGTGATAAACTTGCCCTTGAACTCTAAAAGTGTATACTCCTTTGTTATTTTTCAAACATCTTTTGTCAACATTATAGACACCCATCGATGTAAATGCAAAGGTGTTGTTGTAGGTCCATACACAGTTCTGTAATGTTTTGACATTTTCATCCATTCCAGCAAATAATTGCCTCTATTGGTGGCATAAAACCTGACACGAGGCTAACTTGACCTTTGCTACAACAGAACCCGGGAGACTCATATTGAATTCGCTTGGCCCCACAAAATTGGCAGTTTGGGACGAGGTCAATTTGAAACCACTTTGTGAAGTTGTACCTGAGAGAATTTATTCTTTTTAGATTTTAATTGTTAATATTTAATCCACAGATTTAATTGTTATATCGAAAATGTGGATAAATTTTTTTTTAAATACATTTTTTCTGTGAATGTATATATGTATTTTAGTGTTCTTAAAGGGAGATACGAAACTTTCAATGTGACAACGTACAATGGTACTTTGTGGGCAGCGCACGACGCACGTACAATGGTACTTCGTGGGCAGGACACATGACTTTTTTAAAATATTTTTTGTTTAACAAACCTGCAATATTTGAGGCCATTGTCGTAGGTTTGTTTGGGACCAGAGTATTTGAGCGATTTGCTTGTTTATTTAGTTCCCATGGCACGTGATTTGATGATGGTGTGTTCATATCATCCATCACACTTTGAACTAACTAATCACCTAAAAGTCAGAATATACGGAGTGAATTCTAATTTTGTTACATGCATGGACTAAACCACACAAATAGACTAAGCAAAACATTTTATTCAAGAAATGTAGGTGCAGAATGGACAATTTTAAGTATTTTAGAGGTCTTAATCGCAAGTATCTTATTTTGTAAGTAAATGTGATTTGTGATATAGATATATCACTGTAAATAATAAATACTCTTTGAAAATATGATAAAGCAAGGTTTAGTTATTAAGTGAGTATATGTAGATACAGAGACAACTTTGGAGCAAAAGTTGAAGTATACAATCATAGATTCATGCATGTAATATTGTACAGGCTAAAGACCTTGATTGTAAAGCATTACTGTCGTAAATGAGCTTGTTTTTTACTTTCTTGGTGCCTGAGTGTGATTGGTTGTGAATAGTGAAACTATTTTTTGAGTGACATGTTTAATAACACCATTTGGATGTGTTTTTCCTCTTTTCAACATTGCATTAATATAGTGAGACGTTTTTCTGGTAATTTTCTTCATTTTTATCTATTATTATTAGTACTTTCTGATATAGAAACAAATAAACCTGATATGTACTTTACATCAGTTAACCGGATGATTTAGATGTTTTAGTTAATAAACTATCTATTGAAAATTAAAATAACCTTTGAAAAAAATGATAAAGCGAGGTTTAGTTTTTAAGTGAGTACAGATAAACAGACAACTATGGAGTAAAAGTTCAGGTACTCTATAAATAGATTCATACATGTAATATTATTGTCCAGACCAAATGAATACAAACGACATGGGAATGTAAATGTTTACCTCAAGAGATATGTCTCTAAAGCCGGTTCGAAAGAAACAACTTGCTTCCCCTCCAATACTAAGCAAAATCGCTGCATTCATCAAGACAAGAGACAAAATGATAAGTTGCTATGAAAAGGTCAAAAGGAATTGTATGACAATGCATGTCGGGTTCTAAATCATAATGTAACCATTTCAGCCTCAAGTGGTTACATTATGATAGTGATCTTTTCTTCTTCTAATAATCATAACCACTTTAACTTTCTTAAGATAGTGATCTTTTCTTCTTCTAATAATAATAACCACTTTAACTTGCAAATTACCCCTATTTTTCAATAGGTAATGCTGCACAGTAACTAAAGCTTTCAATAGCTTTCAATTTTTAAAACCTTCAATTGCTAATGTTAAAAAAGTTCAATTCGCCAATAGCCAGCTAATGAAGCCATGGCGGCCCCAGATTCATTTTCTTAGTGAAAACACGCTCCTAAGGATTCTTGGTTCATATAATTATCCTCTATCAACCAGCCCTAGGGTTGTTGTCATTTTTTTTGGCCTTTTAATTTTAGTTAATAACTCAAAAGGTGAACTGAAACTTAAAAAAAGCAATGAGGTTGCTAATTGATTGACTAAAAATCAAAGTGCTAAACCGTCATAGTCTTCAATCGTTTTCTTTACTAAGCTTTGAAACAACCAATAATAAGAGTATAAACTGTACAAATTAAACGTAGGCAAAGAGATGGAATGGTAAAACTCAGATATCAATCGTAATGATCAATAAACATCAACTATTGGAGGGAAGAATGGAAACTCACCAAACTGTTGATCAGGCCGCGTGAAAAAGACGACAAACCCAAGGAAACCCCCATTTATAGAACTGGAGGAAGAGATGGGAATCATCTGAAACCGAAATTTCATTGAATATACTCGTATGAATTTATTTTTGATGCTCCAACTTCTCCAACGCAGGTTGAAGACTATGGCGGTTTAGCTTCACAAACGGATCCAAAAAAGAATAAGGCGAAAGGAGTTGGTTCTGTGTGAAGCGGTATAGTTAACGCTGTTAATCAACGCTGTTAACGATCAATAAACGCCATCTGTTAACGATCGGTATAACGCCCAGCAGAAGCGTACAACACTAGCTACACAATGTACACGTACAGAAAGCAAAGTTCTAGTAAGCATTTAATAAGAATATGTGGCCTTTGTAAGATAGGTTAAGGGGGTGTTTGGAATTGATTCTGCTTTTGCTTCTTTTTTAAAGCAGAAGCAGAATCAGAATCAATTTTCAGAAGCTAGTCATCCCCAACTTCTAAAAAAAACTGATTGTAGAAGTAAATTAGAACACCCGAATCACTTCACTTTCACCCAAGCACTCTGGCTTCTACTGCTGGTGAAAGAGCGGAAGCAATTTTAAGAATGAGATCCAAACCCCCTCACATGAATTATTGTTTGTGTATAATAAATACTTGGGACCCTAATTCCCTAAATACTTGATACCTAAATTCTTTCCGGACTTTGATTCCAAAAAATACCGGACTGTCGCTAGGAAATGGAAGCTAAAGTTAGAAACTTATTGGATTCAGTCAGCCATATCTTCTCCTCCGGCGATCAGATACCTTGGTGCGATCCCGATATCATCGCTGTAAGTATCCCCTCTATCTATCCTACATGAATAGGTAGTTTGACTTGTATACGGTATACCCTGTCGATTATAGGGTCCAGATGTTGAACTGTCTCTAGAGATAAGACTAGCAAGATCAGGGTGTTAGAAATTCAGTATTTTCTCTTGCAAAAAGTGACAAAACATTTCACGCGAATGCACAATGATACAGATGAAGTTCAGGACTCCAATTTTCGGAAATTGCGGGGATACTGTTCAATTGAACCTAAGATGTTGAGGATATTGGCAGACAGCCAATAATATAAGTAGGCTACACAGCCAAAATATGACAACATGAATGGTGTGGAGTACGGATAATACAATAAAATAATTGTTTTCTAACATACCCTCGCATTTCACATGCAACTGCTAAAACAGTCATATCATTTGGCTCCAGTTTTCATGATCAGCAACTTTAACATTCACTTATTTAAGTCCAGTAAAAAATTGTCACGAGTTTGTAACATCAACCTTAGACCTTGCTATGAATCTTGTTGCTTGAAACTTGAAAGTCACACATAGTTTTCAATCTTGGCACATGGTGTAATTTGTATATTTTGTCCTACCTGACCTACCAAATTCTTTTAATTTCCTTGTATGGTAGGAAGATCGTCTGTTCCACATACTACTCTGCACACTGTGTTCCCTATTCCTATTAACTTGCATACTTGAAAATCAATTTATTTCTTTTTATGCACACGTTAACAATTGATCAGGAGTGCTGTATGAATCCTGTTATGTTTTAGAAAATTATGCACTATTATAGTGGATGGCTTTTGTTTATTTGTATTGTGTTTTGGTGTAAGCTCATTTCTTTGCTGCTGGACCATTTGTTCTCTTCAAAATGTTAAATGTGCTGTACTTGGTACTTACTGTAGTGTGTATATACCTTCATGTAATACATATGATTGGTTTTTTAGTACTCATTTATCTAGTTACTCTTACTCTGAGATTTGTGAGTCACGGCGTTGCGGGAGAAGGAGAGTATGGAACAGAAAATATCCCGACATCCACAACAACATGTTGCTCATTTGGGTGGAGGGACCGATTTAGTCTCTTATTAATTACCTAATTTTGTAATTTTTATTTTTGCTTGCTCAGTTATGTTTAATTATTAGCAAGTAGCTGAATTTGTTCAGGCTATGTTTGCAAGAGCTTAAAATCACTTTTTAAGCTTTTATCTTTGGAAAAGCTGAAAAGGGTTTTTTAAAATGAGAACTTCTACATTAATTTAAGCAGCGTAAAGCCAAAAGGCAGAAGAAGGGAAAGAGGTGCTTTTAGTTGCTTTTTGGTATTTTTCTAAAGATGCCCAACTTTTAGGACAATTTTAATCCACAAAAGGCCAAAGTAGCCTTCATATCCTAAGGTGTACGTCCATTGTTCATCACCTCATCCATGTCCTCTGTGCCGCATCTGTCATCGTTTCACTTTGAAAACACGCTGCATCACTTCTATTTCAATATATACATATTACATGCACACAGTATATAGTATATCGCTGGCACATATATATGGTACCTGAACTTTGGGAAGCAAGATTGGAGATAAAATCCTAGTGATTCGATGATCTATGGTAGCTGAACTGGGGGAAGCCATCCTGTGTTGATTCAGAAGCTTCATATATAAATATAAGAGCATCTTCAATGCTACAATGTGCACGGTGTGTATGTGACAAGAGAGAGATAGACACAAAAAAATAAATTCATGACACCTCTCCTTCTTTCCACTGTCTTATGTGTTTTTGGTTAGTTTTTCTCAATAATGTCAACCACAATATTTACATCCAGACATTGGAGAACTTACCAAAATTTCAAATAAGGACAGAGATAGTTTATTTATTAATTTTTATATTTCTATTTCTCTCAAGCCATGTATATACTCCCTCCGTCCCGTAAAGAAGTTCCCATTCGGTTTACGATGCTTGACTGAAATCGGATAGTTATGGATCGGATAGTTGGATGAAATTTCGAAATGATAGCTATCGATCTGATCTAAATCTTGCGCGATTAGGGAGGAGGCCACGATCATTTCATCCAGCTGACTGGAATCTCGGACTTCCTTCACAATCCCAAAAGGATTTGATCATAGAGCTGAAGACCATTCTTAAAATCCCTGGAAAAGCAATGTTGAAATCTGAAATTTCGATCGTAACAGGTCAGAATATTGCCAGATTATTATATGTTTAAATTCCAGATTAATTGAGACGATTTTGTTGTGTTCTAAAACCCCTGCTGCAATGACTCAACATGGAATAATGCCTGAAATCAGAGAGAGGAGGCGTCGGTGGCGGGGCAAGGGTGGAAGGTTGCGGCTTGCCGGCTTGGACTGGTGAGGGGGGCGACCGTGTTAGCGGATGGGCACTGGAAATAGTCGCCCTATAAATTTCCATAGTGAAATGTTTGACAGTGATCCAGTGACATTCAAAAGGGACATAAAAATATGGTAGTGACATATGACACTGACATAAAAATCTGGCAGTGACAAAAAATTTCGCAGTGACATAAAAAATTTCGCAGTTACATCAAGTTTTACCAAATATATGACCTTATTAGTCACTTTTTTGTCCTTTTATAAAAATGGTCACTTTTTTTGGAAATTGGCTTTAATTTAGTAATATTCAAGGGAAAAAAAACCATATATATATGTTAAATATATACGGAGTATTAAGTTGCAGCAAAGGTTAACCAAGGGCATTCATATATGGTCTCTATAATTCCTGTAAGGGTATATTGATACTTTAATAAAATATAACATTAAAAACCACTTTTTTACCAAACTCCCCACTTTTAACTTTTACACTTTAATCACTTATATTCTAAAACACTATCAACTTTTATTACTAAGCACTTCCTCCAAAATCACTTACCAAATTCACTTTTTTAGTGGTTGCTATATATAAGGAGATTGTGTGCTTCTATACTCTTCACTAAGTTATTGGGTAGTTTTCTCCACTAAGTTAGTGGGTAGTTTGATCTGGCGTGTGTATTTATTGGCTTAAGGCCAACAGAGAAATGAGGCAATAGACACTCTTCTGCTATTCTTCTTTCTATATTCTTGGTCTTATCACCTTATGTTCTAAATTAGTTGTCTTACTTGGATTACGAGGCTTAGACTGAGGATAAATATAATTCTTCCTATAAAATATTTAAATTACTTTTAGTAATTAAAATTTACACATGTAGAAATTATACATTAATAGTTGTATACTAAGGTTATAATGAACTATAAAAATCAAATTTGAAAATGACAAAAATGTGGTACATAAAATTTGAATATAAAAGTGAGCTGGATTGATCTCTGAATAACGAGTTTTTTTAGTGGACGGAGTATTATTATTATTATTATTATTGCTACTACTACTAATTAATTTACTTATCCTAAAACTTAGTTTGGTGTAGCATTTTTTGTTTAGCTGCACAATTTACTTGTTAGTTCTTTTCAAGTATAACTGTGTTTGTTAATTTGCTCAGCATCTCTTTGTTTATGTACTTATATTTGGTATCCCCATCCTAAAAGGTCACTGTGTCTGCTTTAGGAGAATGCAATTATGTGAAGTTTTTGACTTTCAAGTAATGTCTTCCATAGTGTTTTCAACCCCAGAGAGGTTAATCCTAGTATATAATCTTCTGATGGTATTTCCAAATTTGAATCATTTGATGACCTCAATTAATGCATTTTAATCTTTGAGAAATCATAGAAAGCTAGAAGCACGCTGCTCAAGTAGAAGCATGTTTGATCAGTTTACAGTTTTCATGCTCTTTTCTGCGTCTTGGTTTTTTTCATTTTTCCTCCTAAAAAGTGTAGTATATTTTCAGGGATGCGAGCGTGAAGTGGCAGAGGCTGAAAATGGTGCTTCTGAAACAACTAAAAGTGAATGCATAATGCGCTTATCTTGGGCTCTTGTTCATTCAAAGCGTCCAGAAGATCGCCAGCGTGGTATAGCAATGCTAGATGGTAAGTATAGGAGGGGATATTTAACATCTCTCCCTCTTCCGAGGCAATCTCACCAACTGTATTGTATTTCACTCTCTTATGTTCAGACTTTGTTAATATTCTTGGTTCTACCCATAACTGGTTTTGTATCTTTCCTCCTCTGTGCAGTGTGCACCCTCTTTATCTACTTTAGTTGTAAACTTTCCTTCTTTTAGTCCTTGTCAGAATGGGGGTTTCAAAGGGGAGAGATTGTATTTTTTTTTTAGCCGGTTTGGTGACCCTATTTTTCGAATTATCAGCCTTATCAACCAACTTTTTCACTCATCATTTTCATTTTCATTTACCCTAGTGCCGCAAAGGCTCCCACCTACGGTGGGGTAAGGGGGGGTCGGATGTACGCAGTCTTACCCCTGTACTAAAGCACAGAGAGACTGTTTCCGGATGACCCATAGTGAAAATCGCGTCCAAAATTGCATGGACTGACTGCTACTTCATAACAAAGAAGCGCAGACAGTTTAATGAGCCATTTTGCTTTATTCCATCATATTCTCAAGCCATTTTATTTCGCGCGTTGAGTTGTGTAATAATCAAAATAAGTAAGGTTGGAGTTACTTTTCTGGCTGGACCCATTTTAACTACTTTTCATATAATTTTTTCTTTATTTTATTAATAAAATATATTTTAAATACGGAGTATAATTTTTTCATAATTTAGCAGAATCAGCCACTTCAGCTAGAGCTTCATAAATTTCAACAGAATATGCTGATTCAACCAATTCCAGTGATACCAAACGGGCTCTTTATTGGTTTATTTTTACATTTATACATAGTCATTTTGTAATATTATGTAATATAAGAGTATAGGACTACCAAATAGAGATAGATTTGCGACTAGCGGGAGGTTTAAGTGACATATCCATTACTGATTATCTGGCGATTAAGCTTTTATTGTTTTTTTTCATTTCCTTTTAGATGGATTTTATGACTTATAAAGATTATCTTTTATCTGCAGCTTCTTTAGGGCTCACTAGTGGTCCACAACAAAAGAGGGAAAAGCTTTATCTTTTAGGTGTTGGATACTACAGAAGTGGGGATTATGCTAGAAGCAGAGAGATAGTGGATAGCTGTTTGGCGGTATCTTGTGTTTCAGTTTTTCTGTTCTGTGTCAACTATTAATGCATATCATATAACAGAAATTGCCCTAAATAGGAGTAAAAAGAAGGGGAAAGTATGGAAAAGGTACATGTGGTTGGGCCCGTTTTCATTTATTAACAAAGTAGGTCACGTGTTTCAATTCCGTTATCATAAGAGGGGCCCGGGGCCTATCAAGGTTAGAAATCGTAGGAGGAAGGTGATCAGTAACTTTGGTTTTCAAATGTGCTCGAAAAATTCAGAGAAAAATACTAGGAGGGACGCCTCATTAAGGAGACTTCCAAACCATCTTTTTTTCCAAACTTCGAGCCACTATTGTCGCCAGAAAATTTATCAGAAAAGTGATAGTAGCAGTTTCATTTTTAAAAAATAATCCAAACGGATTCGAGAAATCCAAATAGAAGATGGTTTGGAGGTCTCCTTCACGAGGCACACCTACCAATTTTTTTCTTTTAATTTTTGCGGTTTTCTTACAAAAGTCCCACCTTTTCGTTATTCATGAATAATCCGACCTTTGCACCTCATCTTCATTCACTGGTCCCTGACCAGTTGATGACCTGCTATTCCAAGTTATTTTCTTATCTTTGCAAACCGTTATACCATAAATCTCACCTTTCACGAAGATAATATTTTGCAAAGATAAGAAAATAACTTGGAATAGCAGGTCATTAACCGATCAGGGAGCAAATGAAGATGGGGTGCAAAGGTTGGATTATTCTTGAATAACGAAAAGGTGGGACTATTGTAAGAAGACTGCTAAAAGGTTGGATTATTAGTTTCCATTTTCCCTTAATTTTTCGAGCACTTTTGAAAATTAGAGTTAGTATTCATCATCTTCCTCCGACGATTTCTAACGTTGTTAGGTGTCAGGCCCCTCCTGTGATAACAGAATTGAAACACATGACCTACTTTGTTAAGAAATGAAACACAAGCCCCTATCTGAAAACTGGTCAACCACAAGTACTTTTTCCGTACTTTTCCCTAAAAATGTGAAATTCCAAAATAGAAGTATTATATTTATTTCTCGAATTAACCGACATGATTGGAAAACACTATCAATTATGACATTAATGCTGTCATATTAGTGCTTGACTGCTTGGAAATGCCAAATAGTCGCATATATTTTAAATCTTATAATGCGATGTATATGTTATAATGTTTATTAAGTGGGCATATTTAAAGAACACAAAAAGTATGAAAAAGCAAATATAAATCGGACATGAGGGAGAGTACTATTCATTTTTTTGATGTTTTTGGGAAGTGATTGTTTATTTTAATTCCTGAAGGCATCGTAAATCCATAATTGCGGTGTTCGGGTTTGTAGATTGAACCTGATTGGAGGCAGGCATTGACCCTGAAGAAGGCAATTGAAGATAAAATCACTAAAGGTATTGCTCAGAAAGTTTGATGTTTGGTTCCTTTCTTCATTATATTAAATTCTGGAAAGGCTTAAATACGGAGTATGTTTTTTGGCTGTGTGTGTGTATATATTTGTTATAGGTCCCTATAGTTTGATGTTGTTCAGATATGTATATTATCCTTCTTTTTAGTCCTTGACTCCTTGTCCATCAACCTCTGTTAAAAAATGTCTAATACTTTTGTTTTTTAAGAGGCTGAGAGCTGAAAATTGATAACTGGAGTGATGAGTTTTATACTTTTATTTGGCCCCGACTCCCCTTATTACAGCATTATAGGTAGAGATGATTTGCAGTAAGTTGACATGGAAAGGCTAGATTCTTTAAGTCACATTGTTTATTTTTGTTGAGCAGAGGTGTCTACATAGAGAAGCTAGACAGAAATACAACAACATCCAAGCCTTATTCCCAAAAGAAGGGCTAAAAAGAAATTAAAAAAAATTATTGGAACAAATAAATCAAATAAATTTTTTTAGAACATATGTATCGGGCTTTTTCAAGCAAACTGGTCTTAATTTATTCATTTGTGCTCATTTGGACAATAGATGGAGTGATTGGCATTGGCATTGCTGCCACTGTTGCTGGGCTGGTTGTGGGGGGGATTGCGGCTGCGTTGTCCCGTAAGAAGTGACTGATGATCGTGTGAACTGCTGCTGCCTGTGCATAACAAATGCAAACCTTTTCGCAGTCCCTCTTTTAGAGTCCTATGACTCTCTCCGTGAGAGTACTATGTTTGAGAGCATTTCTTTTCTTCCTCCCTGATAGGCTGGTAGTACTACTGAATCTTCAAAAATAGTTAGTTGCTTTTTTATGGCTTGTTTGGTGTATAATAACTGCTTATATAGTGAGTTGCTGGGAACTAATTAGGGGTCAATCGTGATCAGGTAGGGCTTTCAGCGGGAAAGAGACCTAGGTACGCACTAAAGCACCCTAGGAGAACTTGTTCAGAGGGACTTTTCATGCTAGGTGGAGAATTTAGGATGTTTTTACTTTGGACAGTTTTTAGTCCCAGATCAGGCCAGACCAGACTGGACAATTATAAAATACATAGAGATCAAACCGGGTCAATTCAGTTCTGACAAGACATAAAGAGATGTGTAAATACTAAACCCTCAAAAAAAAAAGAGTAGAAAAATTCTATTCAGTCAAGAATGGTTAAAAACTAGAACACGATCAAGTGTTCCACCATTTTATGTATCAAGAATTGTTTGAAAACTAAATAAAATAAATTATGAGTTATAATACGACTAGGAAATTCTATTCAGTCACATTATTTCGATTCACAATCACTTAAATTAGTTTTAATACATAAAATTATTTCATATTTTAATTTATCCCTATCCTATAGCCTAGACTTATTTTGCTATACCCTCCATGAAAATCCAGCTACCTGCCCCTCATTGGTTGCTTTTGATGGTGTATCCGGCTATCCCTGCCACGTTTACCATCTCATAGCTTCCCCTATGTCATCAATGGAAACTCTTAGAGCTCGTTTGGTGATCCCTTTTTTCGACTTATCAGGCTTATCAGCCAGCTTTTTCACCAAACACGTAACTTTTGATTTAATTTCATGCGCTGAATTGTGTAATAAACAGAAAAAGTAAGGTTGAAGTTATTTTTCTGGCTGTATTGGCTTAAGTTACTGTAGAGAATCATTTTAGCTATTTTTTCATATAATTTTTTTATTTTATTTATTAATAACAAATATTTTAAATATAACTTTTTCATGAATCGGTAGAATCAGCCAATACAGTCATTTCAGTCAGAATTTCATAAATTTCAGCAGAAACGGCCAATACAGCTAATACAATCAATTTTTGTGTTACCAAACGGTAGTGCTGGACTCGGGCCGGGCGGCCCGGCCCGGAACCGGCCCGGCCCGGTTACTGTTAGGCCCGGCCCGGCCCGGGGCCCGGTGGGTCCACCGGTTCGGTTCGGCCCGGCCCGGCTGCTGGGCGGTTCGGGCCCGGGCCCAGGTTTTGGTGAACCGGCCCGGCCGGTTCGGGCCCGGTCCGGGCCGGATTTTAATTTTTTTTTTTTTTTTTGAAATTTTTTTAAGTTTTAGGTTAGATTAGGTATTTTGGGCCATTTGAGGTGGTTTGGGATGGTTTGGGGTTGAGGGGGAGGGGTAGGGGATTAAATAGGAGACCAAAAAAAAAAAAATTAAGTGGGCCGGTTCGGCCCGGCCCGGCCCGGCCCGGTTTGGCCCGGAACCGGAACCGGAACCGCCCACCGGCGGTTCGGGCCCGGGCCCTAGTTTTCTGGCCCGAGGCCCGGCCGGGCCCAGGCCCGAACCGGGCCCGAACCGGCCCGAGTCCAGCCATACCAAACGGGCTCTTAGTCCCACTCATACTCTGAGGTGCAACAAAGCCGGTCTGATGAAGCCTTCCTTGATGTTTAGAGAAGGCAATATGGGGAATATTCGACCCATCCCCCATATGGGGAATATTCGACCCACCCCGACCCATCCCCCATTACTATTCGACCCACCTCATCCCCCACCCGACCTACTAGACCCACGGGTACCCAACATGGGGAATATTCGTCAAAAATTAACACCATTTTAGACCTTGAGAGTTTTTTAAAAATTAAACAACACTTCTAGTAGTCAAAAAACCTTATGGTTTTTAAGTGTCAATGTGATCTTACATCTCATTTCAAATATAGAACACATTATATGCGTTTTGATTGAATCATTTTATCAGACACTTTATTAGCATTGATTAGCTCTATAATATTTTTTTAAACACTATATTCAATCAACTGTGGTCATTTGACAGCATCTAGGATGACCTGTGGTCAACAGATTTAGAGCCCTAACTACAATTATAAAGATGACATTCATAAGAAAAGAATTAATGCACTTGAATAGTAAAAGAAGAAAACATTCACACTGTGTCTGAGGCGTTTAAGCTAATATCACTTTATAACTTTTTCAAATTCATTTTACTTTATGATTTTAAAAACCAATTTTACAAGATAGTTGAGTTATTAAACTTAGATATACCCATTAGGCACAATCCATTAAATAGGAAACACTTAAACCCACCAGTCCACTATGCTATTTTAATGACTTTGTATTAGTATCATTATTATTATTATTATTATTCGTATTACTCAACATTATTATTGTGATTATTATTATTACTTATTAATATGTGTATATATACGGGGACGGGGCGGGAACGGTGCGGGGGTGCATAACCCATCACCCGCCCCATAGTTAAGCGGGGAGGAAATAATTCCCCCCATCCCCATACCCGCCCCACCCCACCACGGGGTTGTTCCCCACGGGTCCCCTCCCCCATTGCGATCCTTATTGTTGATGATAGAAATTAGAAATCGTGTGCCCACTATTCCCGAGCAAGTGAGTGATGGAAGCTCATATACTTTTGACAGTGTATTCTCTTGCTGGGTCGTTGGATCCTAAGTGCTAGGTCAAAGCACATGTCTCCGGTGAAGTTCCTTACCGCGAGGTCGTCCGATATCGCTGTTTTTCATGGTCCGATATTGTTGGAGAAGCCACATCCATTGAAGACGAAGAAGAAGTGATGGTCCTAACTCCCAAGTTTTGAAGGCTAGATCGGAGGGTTTATTTGAGATATCCAATAAACAAGAAATTCGAGATAGAGAGGCTAGAACGAGTGGTAGGAAGTCGTGTGAACGGGGCAGAAGGGTTAAAGAGACATTTAAAAAATATATTTTTTTGAATTCTAATTTTGTGACTGTAATTGTGTGGTTGTGAATAGAACTTATATGATTATATATTTATATTGGGTAGTGTCCCAATCTTAGGCCCTATAATTGTAAGTTGTAACTATCAGTACAACATGCATACATGAATAGTGATTGAGCCCAACACAAGAGTGAGCCCCTAAGAGCATCTCCAACCCAAGGGTGCATTGGAGGTGATGTGTCATGCAAATGCAAAGGGTCCATTGAGGATGGAAGGGAAAGCAAACAAATTGGAAGGGCCTACTTTTTTTTCTACTCCAATGCAGATGAAATCACAAAGCAAAATAGAAAAGAATCATTGCTTTTTAAGTTGGTGAGGTGAGACCCAAGGTCTACCAATGGACCTTGTGCAAGACCTTGGCCTTCTCTCTCCTTTGCCAACTAAGCTTGACCTTCTCTGTTTTTTGTTGCATTGGAGAGCACAATTATTAAAGTGGAGTGCATTTGGTGAGGTGGAGATACAATCCACCCTTGGGTTGGAGATGCTCTAACGGCTTTGATATCATTTTTGAAAATGAGGGCACTACATATTTTGAATTAGAATACCTTATGAATGAAATGTGCATCCACATTATATTATATTTCAAAAGAGGCACATTATTAGAACCAATGAATTAGCATACACTATTATACTATTATGAAATGTGCATGCAAAAAGTGAAGATTTCATTGCCCCCACTAATGTCATATCAATATACAATTTGTCAATAGTGTATGCTCAATTGATGTTTTATGCAAATTTTAAAAATTTAAATATTATACAGCAATGTTCATTTCTTGAAAACATTATACTCTTTGGTATAATGTAAAACTCATTCAACAATTCATAATTTCATAGATGTAATATATATATTTACTAGTATCTTTACCCGTGCCGTGCACGGGATAAACGATTTTAGGGGCGTAATCAGGATCGAAGCTTGGAGTGAACCGATATAAGGAATTTTTTCAGATAAGTTTTAGACAAAAAAAAATTACACTAAAAGTACAAAGAACTTAAATTTTAGGGGTGGCCCGGTTGCCCCCCTTACCTTTTTTTTGGAAACTGCAAACTGTAAAATTGCCCCCCTTACCTTCGCCCTTGAATGATTCTGTTTTAGTTTTACTATATATGTGTGCGCGCGCGCACTGATGTATGAGTTATTAGACTTAATGGAAAGTCTCTTATTTAGTCGATTATAACATTGGTTTATAATGTGTATTCTTATTTATTGAGTTTTTTTACTCCAGGGGGCGTTTGGGGGGGAGGGTTGGAGTAATTGGGATTGAAATTCACTCCATTAAGTTTCGAACCCGAGACCTCTGTAAGGGAAAGTGAGTCGGCGACGAGCCGGGCTGGACCACTTCCTCATTCTTATTTATTGAGTATGTTTTACTTTTTAACTAATTATTTGAACATGTTCTCAGTCTATATTATCCAATATTTAAAAGAGCCAATTTTTTATAACTCTTGTATGTGGCGAACGCAAGAATTTCCTCAAGAAGGGGCGGCAGTGTAAAAAAATACATACAAATACATATGATGGTCCCGGATAGAGGTAAAAGTCTAGAGGGGGGGGGGTGAATAGACTTTTAAATCTTTTTCAACTTTATGAAGTTTTCCCTCTAGATGAGTTGATCTATAATCTTTTGAGAGATCAATAGATGCACATCGGAAGTCTTTAACCTCTTTATACTTAGTGTGAGATAACTTTCTAGTTTAGATGATGTTTAGACTGGTTACAAGAGGAAGTAGGCTTGGCAGTAGGCTGGTGAGCAGGTAACTGCTTAGGCTACTGCTGCACAGGCAGTTTGCTGACTGGCAGGCAACTGCTGAGTTGGCAGTTGGCTGGTAGGCAGGTTACTGCTGAGGCAACTGCTGAGGACTAGGATGACTCTTGGATGGCTTTTTGTTCTGGCTTGTTATGGGGTTTGGAAAGACACGTTTGGATGGGCAGTGGGCTCAGCAGGAGGGTGAAGACCAGTGTACTGCTGAGTTACCTTCTGAGTTTAAGACAACTTCTAGTGGAAAACACTCTCAAGGAGAGTGAGTTATTAAGCAGTAGGCGAAGCAGTAGAGTCGATGAAGACTACTGCTTAGGATGCTGCTGGCAAACTACAAACCTTTAGTGAGATGTGTTTGGTGTGTGTTCTGTATGTATGAAAGTAAATCAACACACCATGTATCCTGGTTCAGAGGTGGTGTAATCCTCCTACATCCAGTCCCATTCTATTTCAAATGGATTTCCACTAAAGTATTCAGCCCAATACAATTAGTGTCAATCTAGCCTTGACAACCCTGGCCTAGATTGAAGGTTTTTCACAATGAGTATAAACACCACTCAAAGTTACTCAGTCCTTAGACTTTTCTCAATTGATCCAGTGGGGATCAAAAGG